GATTCGATCGATGCCAATGATATTGAGCTTGTTTTGAACCGGCCGCGCACGTCGCGAGATGTCATTCGCCGTAACGGTATTATAAAGAATGTCACTTTAAGAAGTGTCGGCTTACCCATACCTCTGCTTACGCTGGTACGACGGCAATACTGTCCGTTCGACCGTCGTCGACCGTCCAACGCCTATCCTTCTTCCGTCTTTACGTTCAGGAAAGGCGTTTGTGCGATATAACATGCGTTCAACGAACTGCGACGACCACCGTACACGGCGTGGCTGCCAAGGATGTGTTTTGACGATCCGCTACGGTAGCCTGAACGCTTCTGCGCTGAAACTTCGGAGTGTTCATGAAGTGCCTGTCTTTTCCTCAAAGGTATGTGGACTTCGTTGGCCCGTTTTTCTGTCAGTTTGCTTTGAAAGCCTAACGATTATTTGCCTATGTTGTAACATAATTATAAGCAGCTGTTTTGCGACGAAGAGGCAATTTCAAGTATGTGTGACATCTGAATGATATGTGGTGTCGAGGAGGTCAGGAATGGCCTGGGACAGTCGTTTCTCAGGACCCTTTGTTTCAGGCCTGAGTTATCTTCTACCGAAGCTCAAATGCTAGCATAGGATCTAGGACGTTTGCGACACTGTCTGAAAAGATAAGCGGTCGTCGAAATTGACTGAATTGCCATTGATACAAATATTTTAGTTGATGTCCGAAAAGTTGTTCAACCCCTAACACAGTAATCTATAATTGAGATTAACGCACATAATCATAATTTCAGAAGTTCCTCTCCTAGCATCCGAAAACGATTTAACGTCTTTGGAAGGCATGCGGCACTGCAATAATTTAATTGATGACGCAAATGATTCAGTCAGAAATTAGAAATAATTTCAATTTGGAAATTATGATTCCGCATTAGCAACCGGCGCGTTCCAGCAGGAGACAGTGGCGTTTTTTTCGAGAAGTAAGTTGCAGTCTCTTGCTTCTAAGTAAATAGCCTTTTAGTATTGCCTTTACAGCAATGAAACTTC